TTTAAAAAAATATTTTTTTAAAAGAGGCTGAAAATCTGGGTGCGTCTTATACACTGAATACAGCACTTTTTGCCTCTCAAAACTCCGCCCCTTCAACAAAATGGCCGTGCATAGCTTTTAGAAGAAGGCTTTCAGAGAGTTCTGAAAGGGGTTGGAGAAGGCAGAAATGAGCAAAACGGCCTGTGTTTTGCCCCCTCAGCCCCCAGTAGCACTCTATAAGCTTCCTAAAAATTATACATGCCCTTTTTTTGATGAAAAATGGGCCCTTTTTTGACGAAAAATGGGCCCATTTTTTGAAAAAAGGGGGCGGGTTTTGCTTGTTTTTGCCCCCCCCCCATCCCCAGGAGCACTCTACAAGCCTCCTAAGGTGTATTCATGCCCTTTTGGGAGGAAAAAACAAGCCTATTTTCGCAAAAATGGGGCGTTTTGGGGAGGTTTGCAGAGTGCAAAAACTTTTTTTAAAAAAATTCCTTTTCAAAACCTTGCTGCGTCTTATACTCTAAGAATATATTCATAAAGGACTTTCTGTACTATCTGACTGCAGTAAATTAATTAAAACAAAATGTTTCTTGGAGGGAGGGGATCACTTAATCAAGCTCTTCTATCTGGATGGATAGAATCAACCTAAACTTCTCTATGCTTATATATTGTGGGATTAAAAGTCACTCACAGAACAACCAAAATAAAAATATTCACTTTAATAAAGGGCCATATATGACTTGTGATACAATTGTTTTAACATAGCACAACATTATATTTCTATCTTGTATACATTCTTTTACCCAGTTTCACAATTCATTGATTAAACATATTATTCTATTACATGGGATATACTCTCAGGCAATTTGATAAAAAAAATACTATTTTAATGTTGCAAGAAGAGAAACAAGCCGTGCGTTAAACATTACTGTACCTTAAGATTACGAACCCCAATTTATTAAAGGTATTTTGAAAGTTAACAATGTTTAGAATCTCTATTCCTAATTTTTACATTATATTTTTCACTTCTAAATTCCCCAGGGATTCCTTAATATGTTAATGAAATCTTCATCATCCGGAATGCCAATACTTAATCCTTCATAATAATCCTCAAATTCACCAAAGGAAACTTCACTGGGATTGCTGCAGGCATCCTCCAGTGTTTCAAGAAATGAAGATTTAATTTCTTCCTCTGTTGCATAACCTGTTAAAATATTTTTTACTATTAAAGTTGTTACTAAGCATGTCAAAACTGCAGTAAAACATTAAAAAATAAAAAATAAATCTCTGTTCTACAGTATGTTAAAGATGTATTATATATCAAACAAAAAAAACTTCCAAAGAAAAGCAAGTTAAGATAGAAAATTCAAGGGATATGTTACTAAAAGTAACTTGTGTAGGAGTCCAGAGGGCAAAGAACAAAATGTGCATCACCATGTCACAATGCAAAGTAGTGTTACTTAGATACTTGCATACAACATCAGTATGCAAATACAAAACAGAGGGATTGCTTTGTTTTGTAATGTTACTGCACAGATGCTTACAATAATTCTGTCTCATACTTTAAGCCTACATTTATCCCAAACATTGTAATGTCTTTCTCCAAATATAGTAGACTACAATATACACCAAATGAAGGCCCTGGGCATGCTCAGATTGCAACGTTTTTGGAAAATTTGGGACAGATTTCCCATCCATGATTAAACTACTGAAGTTCGTAGATGATACAATAGTGATTGGTCTCATTCGAGACAACAATGAAACCGCATACAGACAGGAGGTTGAAGAACTAGCCTTGTGGTGCGACTGGAACAATCTGGAACTGAACACACTCAAAACCGTAGAAATTGTGGTAGACTTTAGAAGAAACCCTACCATACTACCACCTCTTACAATACTAGACAGTATCAATAGTAGAGACCTTCACATTTCTAGGTTCTATCATATCTCAAGACCTAAAATGGACACCTAACATCAAAAACATCATCAAAAAAGCACAACAAAGAATTTTCTTTCTGTTACAGCTCAGGAAGCTCAAACTGCCCAAGGAGCTGCTGATACAGTTCTACAGAGGAATTATTGAGTCTGTCATCTGCACCTCCATAACTGTCTGGTTTGGTTCTGCAACCCAACAAGACAGACAGGGGCTTCAGAGGATAATTAGAACTGCAGAAAAAACAATTACTGCCAACCTGCCTTCTATTGAGGACCTGTACACTTGCACAAGTCAAAAAGAGGGTCATGAAATATTTACAGACCCCTTGCATCCTGGACATAAATGGTTTCAACTCCTACCTTCAAAACGACGCTATAGAGCACTCCACACCAAGACAACTAGACACAACATCAGTTTTTCCCCGAACGCCATCACCCTGCTAAACAAATAATTCCCTCACCACTGTCAAACTATTCACTAAGGCTGCATTACTATTAGTCTTCT